CAGCTCGGCTGCCGATGCTGGGCACGCAGCTAAACGTGCTGGGTTCGCTTCTGGAGCTGTGCGGCGTTGGAAAGATGTCACCAGCTCCGGGGGAAGATACAGGGTGGTCTCCAGTCATGAAGTGACTCCCACCGTAGCTGCTGTAACCAGGGTTATGCATGATGAAAGGAGCCTGTTTTCCCAAAGTGGTGCTTCCTGTATATAACCAAAGAGCAAGGGGAAGATAGACAGAAGCTGTTTGGCTGTAAGACCTGTGTGAATCTGGTTAGGGAAAATCCTATTGTCATAGACAGTTCTGTGCACTAAGAAGGGTGAAAAATGGGATCCTCTTACCAAAGACAACACCAGTGTCATTAGCATTTTGCTCCATGATGTCACTGTTGCTCTGCTGAAATTATACAGAGCTTCAGATACCATTAACTAGAAGAGAAACCCTCAAACAATGTCAACTAGCAGAGAAGACCTCACACAGCATGGAGGAGCAGGCCTCAAAACGCTAACTGCCTGACCTGAATATTGTAGAGAACAGCTTGAATGTCATCTCTGTTCAGCCTGTTTCGTCTAGTATTCACTTCTTTATGTTTGCCTTCTCATCATTTTACCAGTATTTTCAGTGTATGTGGTGTGGAAATGACCTTCTGAATTACTGTTGAGTGTTGTGGTGGGACTTGGAGCTGGCCATGAGGGTCACTTGAGCCCAGCTAATTTCTCTAGCCTGCAGGCCAGGAGAGCTTGTGCTTTACATGAAGTGCTATCATGAAGTGGTAGCTGTGGAGTCAGCAGGTGGAGGAGGTGCTGCTGGTAGAGCTTTTAGTGATGGAGAACAGTCATAGCATTTGTCTGGGGAGATGGAAAACAAGAAAGGGTCGAGAACTCAGTGGTCTGATGTTTCCTGCCAGCAGTTTGTGGTCTCAGAGGTGAGAGTCTGAGATACGCCTGTGCATCTTGCAAAGCTGTCTTTGCTGAAGTTCTCCACCAGCATGATGTTCTCAGTCCGGGACACCTTATCTCACTGTTTGTCCATTCCCCCTCCCAGGACCGGGGAAAGTGCACTTTCAAGTGCTGCTTGTTTGCCTTAGGGGTGGAGGTGCTGGGTGCATGTGACGGCAGCATGACGTGCACCACTGCCACTGTGGGTCTGCGGGCACCTCTGCGGCGTGCACCCACCTTCTCAGCTGGCTGGGGCATGCAGATGTGTGAAGACCCTCAGATCTGAGATTGCTGCCAGGTCTCAAGACCTGTACGCAGCTGTGGATATGAGATGGATGGGGCAAATCTCTTTGAGGAAGAAGGAAGCTGTTGACTCCAGTGTATGTGTACCTGTATCTGTACGTTCTTGCAGATTGGGAAAAAAATTCCCTTGAGGTGGGATCAGGACCTCGTGGGACCTGCTGTGTAAAGCTGTGGTGTGAGGTTGTACTCTTGCATGCGGATTAACTGCAAAAGTTCTGAAACTCTTGGACAGGAGAGTGCTGTCAGGTGATGAGGTACTAAGGCATAAGGGGCCGAACAACTGTACAGCTGCTGGAATTCCCTTTGCTTTTTTTGGCAGTGGAGAGAGTGGTGCAGGGAAGACAGAGAGTACAAAGCTGTTGTTGCAGCACATCATGAACCTATGCAAGGGCAACTCACAGCTCGAGCAGCAGATCCTTCAGGTAAGCCATTAGAGGATGCTTGAAGATGCAGAAGCAGCACTGCTGCAAGACAGCATGTGCTAGGCTCATGACCCCTGATGATGAATCACCACTGGAAGTCAGGAAGCAATACATAAGACATAAGAAAATGGTGAGTAAGAATGGTGGAACAGCTGACCTCAAACTAGGACTGATAGATAGGTCGGTAATTCTGTTTCCTAGGAGTGTAGTGTTATCTTAAATGATAGAACAGTATTGCAATTGCCTGTCAGGTTCTCTGTGACAACAGATTAGGGGAATTTTTCTAAATAGTTTCCTGATTGAGGTAGAATAAGGATTTTTATTAGAAAAATGAAGTCTGGATTTAATGATACACAGAGATGGAGAATCCGTACAGCCTTCACTCACCTTTCCTTGGCCTTTGCTTACTGACAGGCATGTACCTGCTAACTGGCTAACCTGATCTTTGCTGTTTTCATATACCTTTGCTAGCTGATTGTGAAATACATTTGTCTCTTTGGTCTGAAGAATTTCCACTTGAGACACTCCCCAAGGAGTTGTGGGTTTTAGAGCAAATCAGACTTTAACCTTCCATGTGATTTATTAAGCAAAGTGAGTACTTGGGCTACTTCATTTTAAAGCCTGTGGTTTTAGGCTTTCTGTAGAGCCAGAGAGATCTTTCTCTGTGTGGTGGCTTAACTTTGGCTGGATACCAGGTGCCCACCAAGCCACACTGTCACTTTCCCTTCTTAGCTGGACAAGGGAAAAAAATACAACAAGGCTTGTGGGTCAACATAAGGACAGGGAGATCACCCACCAATTACCATCACAGACAGAACAGATTTGACTTGGGGAAATATAATTTAATTTATTGCCGATTAGCGTCAGTGTAACATAATGAGAAATAAGACCAAATTTTAAAATATCTTCCCATCACCCCTCCCTTCTTCCAAGCCTTAACTTTCTTCCTGATTGTGTCCTCCCTGGAGTGGCACAGGGAGATGGGGAATGGGTTGTGGTCAGCTGATCATACATTGTCTCTGCTGCTTTTTCCTCTTCACTCTCTCTTCTCCTGCTCCAGCTTGGGGTCCCTCCCATGGGAGACAGTCCTCCACAAACTTCAACATGAGTCCTTTCCACAGGGTATAGTTCTTCACAAACTGCTCCAGCATGGGTCCCTTCTATGGCATGAACTCCTTCAGGAACAGACTGCTGCAGTGTGGGTTCCTTTCAGGGTCACAGATCCTGCCAGCAAATCTGCTTCAGCGTGGGCTTCTCTCTCCATGGGTCCACAGGTCCCTCCAGGAGCCTGCTTCAGTGCAGGCTTCCCATGGGGTCACAGCCTCCTTCAGGCACATCCACCTGCTCCAGCATGGGTTCCTCCGTGGGCTGCAGGTGGATCTGATCCACCACTAACCTCCATGGGCTGCAGGGGGACAGCCTGCCTCACCGTGGTCTTCACCACAGGCTGCAGGGGAATGTGCTCTGGTGCTGGGAGCACTTCCACCCCTTCCTTCACTGACCCGGGTGTCTGCAGAGTTATTTCTCTCACATATTCTCCTCTCTCCAGCTGCCACTGCCATTGCACAGGATTTTTTTTCCCTTTCTTAAATAAGTTATCACAGAAGTACTACCACCATTGCTGATGGGCTTCACCTTGGCAAGCAGTGGGTCCATCTTGGAGCCAGCTGGCATTGGCTCTGTCAGACATGTGAGTTACTTCTAGCAGCTTCTCACAGAAGCCACCCCTGTAGCCCCCCTGCTACCAAAACCTTGCCACGTAAACCAATACACTCTGCCACGCTTTGGCCTGGGAATGGCATATTATTTCAGTGTGGTATCATCTGTGGTGGATCCAAGGTGAATGCCTGTGCTCTGTTGTGGGAACGTGGCATTGATATGCCTGCTGGCTCTACTTGGGCCTGCCATGGGCCTCACTGCCAAGCTGTTTCTGACCTGAGCAGGTTCAGAAAGCAGGATAGGTGTGGTTGCTCAGTGTAGTGCCTGAAGCCAGCATGCAGTTCCACTGGAAACAAAGTTCACTTCAGTCCAGGTGAGTTGCCCTTTGTAAGCCTAGAGATGACAGTGAAGAAATAATAGGCATCTTATTGGGTTCCTGTAGATATATTCAAGCACTAAGCCAGCCCCTTTGGGATTACAGTGTCATGCTGTAAAGCTGTGTTCAGCATGCTGCCCAGCACGTACCCTAAGGCATTGTTCTTCCTGTCAGCAGACATTCTTTGCTCAAACACAGTGAAACTGTCATTTCACCCTGTTTGCATTCAGTTCACCAAGATGGTCTGATGGTTCTTTTAGTTTCTTTATAATTCACTGTCCTGAGCTGTATGCTGTCTACATATTTCAGTAGCTAAATTATGTTTACATTTACTAAGTGTCATCTTTAACTTGTTTATTGTTACAGAATCATAGAATGGGGGGTTGGAAGGGACCTTAAAGGTCATCGTAATTCACCCCCCCTGCCATGGGCAGGGACACCTTCCATAAGACCAGGTGGCTCAAAGCCCTAGCCGGCCTGGCCTTGAACACTTCCAGGGGTGGGCACCCACAACTTCCCTGTGCAACCTGTTCCAGTGCCTCAGCACCCCCACAGTGAAGAACTTCTTCCTAATATCTAATCTAAATCTATCCTCCATCATTTTAAAGCCACTATCTCCTTTCTGGTCACAGCAAGCCCTTGTAAAATGTCCCTCTCCACCTTTCTTGTAGGCCCCCTTTAGGTACTGGAAGGCCACTGTAAGGTCACTACTATGTTGCAGTCACATTATCTAATGTTGCCATGTCAGACGCTTTGTGGAAAGCTGTTACACCAACCTTATCTTTTAACAAATGAGTCAATGATCTTACTGAGATCAAATTAGGTTAATTGCACCTATTTTCAGTAATCTCATGCTGCTTAGTTGTTGCTGTGTTTGCCTCTTTCAGTTCCTTTATCCAGGGTATGATAAAATAGGTGCTCTTGGGTCCTCATGGAGTGGTTCCTTTTCCAGCTGAACCCTGAATAGTAAATGCTGAAGTTAAACTTTTCCAAGTAAGTTAGATTGGATCACTGAATTAGAAGAATGCCTGTTCTGCTTGCTTTTCTTAGGTAAATCCATTGCTTGAAGCTTTTGGCAATGCCCAGACTGTGATGAATGACAACAGCAGCCGCTTTGGAAAATACATACAGCTGCGTTTCCAGAAGAGTACAGGTAAAGTCAAGGTCAGTTACTAGTTTTGGGGATGGCTAGGCATGGGAGAGAGTGCACTAAGTAACCAGAACTTGTGGAAGGTGAAATTTTGGCAGCTGACTCCCTGTGGGAAGGGTGTGCAATGAAGTGAAATCTTACAGCAGCCGCAGCTGTAGGATAAGGCCTGGGTTTGGGCAGTGTGGGAGCACAGAAAGGATATAGGGGTCACAGTGCAGGGGAGGTATCCAGTACTCTGTGGTGCCAGGAGCCTTGATTGCTGCTAAAGGAGGTGATAAGACATCTCTAAGGTGATTGGGACCATGTTGAAGCCCATTTCCAGGGTGCTGGTCAGCCAAGAGGGTGTTACACACAAGAATGTTATTTTAGGCAATTCCATGTTGCCATCAACAAATAAGAGATACAGGACAACTCAGTCAGCTTCACATCCCCAAGTGCAGATTTTGCCCTGTCACCTTCTTCTGTGCAGTGCAAGGTGCAAAGCTGAATGAGTACCTCTTAGAGAAGTCACGGGTAGTGCAACAAGATCCTGGGGAGAGGAATTTCCATATCTTCTACTACATGTTTGCTGGACTCTCTTCAGAGGAAAAGCAGATTTATGGGCTATTGGATCCTTCACTCTACAGGTATTTCAAAAGCATACCCTAGCTTGGTCTGTGTGATGGGGGGTGGAAGGGGAAGCAGCATAATGGGACCTGTGCTTCTGCCCTGTGGCTCTATCTGTGGAGCCTGGTACAGGTAAATAAGTGAATGGAAGATGGAGTGGGATCTGAATAGAGCTACATGAAGAGATCTTGTGGGTCATCATGGAAGTTGGGAGGTCTGGAGTCTCTTCTTCGCTGCATTACCTTGGAAAAGTTTCTTTCCGTTTCATGGCTCCACTGCTGCTGATCTACTTTGTTCCATTTGGGTAGGACTGACTTGCTGTGTTGATTGTGTGACGGTTTTGTGTGGGATATGCACTTTCTCAGGTACATAAGTGGACGATTTGGTACACAGGATGTAGCTCAGCGCTGGAAGCACAAATACCAAGAGGTGTGCAATGCCCTTGACATAGTGGGCTTCCAAGAACAGGTCAGTTCTGGGGTCGCTTAATTTCCATCTGTGCTTCCTGCAGGCATAGGGTTTCTTTCTGGCTGCCATTTTGAGGCTCAGTCTTCTTTCTCTCCAGTCTAGATTTTTCATGTTGCTTCCAAACGACCCGAGTCTGTCAGACGTCAGACTGTGTAGGGCCTTTTCCCACAGGCTAGCTGTGCCTTTCCTTCACCTCTCCCAACTTCTGGGGCCTCTGTGTGGTATATGTTAAATGCTGATAGGTTTTCAGTCACCTTCCTTTTGTGTTCTAGGAACAAGTAGACATGCAGGCTATCTTGGCTGGTGTGTTGTCTCTGGGCAATGTGACCTTTGAGCCTGAGGAGAGCAATGGGTCTGTTAAAGTGAGTGAAGCCTCCCAGGGATGGCTGAAGGCTGCGGCGGTGAGTCACAAGAGTTGTTGATGGGAACCTTGTGGATATGATGCTAGTTTCCACTGGCAGTGTGACTGCAGGAGCTGCTCCTGCCAGAGGAGGAGAGGATGTTTCTGCCTCAGAGTGTGACGGCTCCTAAAGAACAATGATTTTTTTTTTCCAGAAATGAACAGAATGACCCCATGACTGCATTTGTGTTTACTGCTATTCATTTCCAAAAAGACACTTTACAGCTTCTGTTTCTTATGTGTCTAGAACCAATGTCTTGTGTATGGTAATTTTGACTTAATACAGTACAAGCTTTTTAAAATTAAATGCAATATGTTACTAAGTGACAACACCAAGCTAGGTGGGAGTGTTGATCTAGTTGAGGGCAGGGAAGCTCTGTAGAGGGACCCGGACAGTCTCTGTCAATAGGCTGAGGCCAGCGGTGTGAGGTTCAACCATGCCAAGTTCTGGGTCCTGCGTTCAGCCACAACAACCCCAAGCAATGCCCAGGCTTGGGGACAAGTAAGTGGGAAGCTGCAAGAGTGAAAAGCACCTGGAGGTGTTGGCTGACAGCCGGCTGAGTATGAGCCAGCATATGCTCAGCTGGCCAAGAAGGCCAATGGCATCCTGGCTTGTATCAGAAACAGTGTGACCAGCAGGAGTAGGGCAGCGATCATCCCCCTGTACTCAGCACTGGTGAGGCCACACCTCGCGTTCAGTGTTGGGCCTCTCACGATGAGAAAGACATCAAGGGGCTGGAGCGTGTCCAGAGAAGGACAACAAAGCTGGTGAAGAGTCTAGAGCACAAGTCCTGTGAGGAGCAGCTGAGGGAACTGGGGTTGTTTAGCCTAGAGAAAAGGAAGGGCAGGGAAGACCTTATGACTCTCTATAACTACCTAAAAGGAGGTTGTAGTGAGGCTGGGGTCAGTCTTTTCTGCCAGGTGACAAGTGATAGGACAGGAAGTAACGGTCTCAAGTTGTGTTTATATTGGATATTAAGAACAATCTCTTCACCAAAAGGTTATCAAGCCCTGGAAGAGGCTGCTCTGGGCAGTGGTGGATTAACCATCTCTGGATGTATTTAAAATGCATGTAGATGTGGTGCTGAGGGACATGTATTAGTGGTGGACTTGGCCATGCTGGGTTAGTTGTTTGGCTCAGTGATCTTAAAGAACTTTTCCAACCAAACCAATTCTATGATTGTAAGTGTGGTGGTGCCTTGGAGAAATTCAGGTGTGTAGTGTCTGAACACTAGTCCTGTGGGTCTTGTGCATGGGTACCACCTTAACTGCTATTATTTTGTTGTTATCCAGAATTAAACTTTCTAACATTTTATGTGAAATTACCACAGATTTAGAAATTTATATTCCACAGGATCATCCCTTTTTTGCTAAATGAGATGGATACATTATCCTGCTTTGTTAACAACACAGAACAGAAAAATGTAATGCATTTCTGCCCTTTTTATGTCTTTTTATTTTGACCTATTTGAAATCCTCACACCCTTCATTTTTGGTTTCACTTCCATCTCTTTCC